TTTGCAAGCCACTGGCTTCTTGCTCAGGAAGCAGCAGTCTCTGGCTGCAGCCCTGTGTGACTGGCTAGCTGGCTGTGACTTAGCCCAGGGGTTTTGAAAGGGCAAAAGATGATTGGAGGGCTTGGGATTCCCTTTCCTCACCACTCTGGTAATGATTTGGCCCAGGGGTTCTGAAGGGGTAAAAGATGATTGGAGGACTTGGGATTTCCTTTCCACACCAATCAGGCCCCAGAGACTCACCCTCCGTGCCCCCTGATTGGCCCCTTGGGTCACTTGGAGGGGGATAAAAGGGACAGCACAGCTGACTCAAGGGAGACCAGTGAGGGACCACAGGGAAGGAGCTTCAAAGAGCTGACAAGTGCTGGGCCAGCGGGGTGGGAGCAGTTGCCCCAGAAGCACCTGAAGGAGTGGGACTTGCAGGCAGCAGTTGGACCCTCAGCAGTGCAGCATGCAGCCGGCAGGAGAGGCTCCCTGCTGGGCTCCAGGACCCCCTACAAGAGGCTGCGGTCAGCAGGAGAGGCTCCCTGGCTCCAGCAAGGATCTGAGCAGCGAACTGAGAGGTTCCCAGCTCTGCTTCCAGCTCCTCCAATCTGAGGCCAGGCAGCTTGACGTGAGGCCAGGGCTCCAGAAAGGTCAAGACCCCTAGCAGCTTGGCATAGCACCAGCTCTGGTGGCTGTGTGGTAGAGTTTCTGCCTACCACATAGGAGATTCAAGTCTCAGCTCCGGTGACTTGGGGTGAGTGAAGTAACAGGGAGAAATTCTTGTTGCAGTGAAAAGGGGTCATTGTGTTTTCCCCCTTTCTCCCCCTCCAGGTACCTAGGCCCTATATTCCTTGTCATTTGACATTTTGTATTTTGTGCCTTTTATATTTCACTAACCAGCATCGTTTGTTCTGTTGTTTGTATTTTATATTTTGTTAACCCTGTCTTTTGTCAACTGGCTGAATATGTCTATGATTGTAAGTGTCTAACCTTTGTTGAATCCTGCCCCCTCGGAGCATTGTAGTGTCCCCTATACCCCCTTGTTTATGTCTATGTTCCCAGTACTGTTCTCTCATTAAAAGGTATATAGTTAAGTTCCCTTTGGTGGTCTGGCTCTGCTCTATCGGGGGAGGAGAGTCCCTACACCTCCCACAGTGCTTGTGCACCTGTTTTGATCCTTTCAGTTGGAGAGGGGATACATCTTGGAGTACCACCCGGGTTCCACCTGATTAGTTCCAGAAAGTCCTAAGTGAACACTGTTCTGTCTGACACTGTTCCACTGAAATTGGAGACACACACACAGGACTGGGGTCCCTGCTGCTGACATATCTGCTGTGGAAGAGGGAAGAGAGGTATCGCTGCTTGAGCAGTGACCAGCGAGGGGAGGGGGGGATAAGGAGGAGCATGGCAGATGCTGCTGTGCCCTGTCAGGCAGACTCCCACCCCCTTCTCAACCAGCCAGAGCAGAAATAGTGCTGTGGCTAGGGAGGAGAGAGGAGGACCCAGCTCTGCTCTTTGGAGCAGACAGCCCATCCCAGGGATGAAAAGCATGCTGGGATGCCAGGGGGCTCTGACTTAACCTAAACCAGGAAGAGGTCTGGGACAGAAGTTCCATAAACCAGTTTGACCCAAATCAGTTAAGTCTGATAGTACATTTAACCCAGTTTATCTTAAACCAGTTTGGGACATTTTGAAACTGATTTATGTCCACTGAGCTTATGTTTTGTTACAGGTTTAAACCAGTTTCTGATTCCTTAAACCAGTTTATGTGTACCTTCTGTCCCTAGTCCTACTGACTAGCAGCAGTCAGCGGTGGCAAGCTCCCAGACAGTGTTATGCTTATCCAAGCTATGCGGAATTTTCATATAGATGTTTCACCACTGTAGCTCTGGGCAAATCCTACATACATTTCTAGGATAATAGCTTTTGACCATTTTGTTCTGCTGCTACATCTCGTCATCCCAGGTCTGCAGCATTAAGATATCCCACTAGACAGTGCTTGTTGGGTGAGTGCAAAAGCAGTTCACTCTACTTAGCAAAACTGATCTAAGAAAAGATCTAGGCAAATGACTGGCTTGAGTCCAACATCCTCCTGCTCAGATGCCCTTAACCCCCTGATTCTGAAATCATTGCCCAGCTTTAGATATGCTTGCAGGATCCTGCATATATTAATCACTCTGTGGGTCATAGCACTCTCCAAGGTTTTCTCCATGCTGCTTGACAAAACTTTAAAACTGGTTCTGGCTCACAAAAAAGACATAATGGGATGAAATGAGAAATGAGGAGCTGCTGCAGGATATGTGAGCAAAATGCTGAGAGCTTATTTTGAAATAACAGAGTGCTATGTGGCCTCCATGGTGAAAATAGCTTAATTACCAGAAAACAATGCAGTGTCGCCATGACGCTCACGCAAGAGCTGTTACAGATCACTTCACAGATACACAAAACCTTCAGCAACTTTCCAGTGCAGACATGCCCTACATCATTGGTGCCTGTCACCAATCACACAACCTTACAGACAAAACTGGAGGCCAAGTTAGGGCCTTTCAAAAATCAACCTGGTCTGTGTTTGAATAAAACTAAAGCTGAAATTCTGAGCTGTAGCAAAATGAAGAATGCTGTGCTTATAAATGCATGAGTGAACCTTAGAAAATACAGTGAGTTCTTCCTGCAGCCTTCTAAACACGTGAGGGCTGAAATACTGACATGGGTAGAGATCTGTGAGACTGACTACGCTGACACAATTACTCTGGTATTTGCTGTAATAAGTCCTGAAATATTAAACGAAATAACCCCTTTTAGGAATAGTTCCAGATTCTAATGCTGTGCCTGACTCAACACAGACTTTCCTACAGTGGGAGTTGCATAGCTAAATGCTCTAGTTCAGGGGTGTCAACAGATGGCCCATGAAGCTGCTGTATCTGGCCCACTGGGTTATCAGTGGGCCTCTGGAAATTGTGGGGCATTGCTAGCAGAGTGGCCTGCAGAAGAATCCAGGGCTATTGGGCCTCAGGGGACATGGTGATTGGCAGCAGGAGGGTGAAATTGCAGTCACCTTCCAGCTGCTTCACTTACCACTGCTCATGCATCTCTACGTCCTTAGTCAACAGACCTGATGCTGCCATGTGCTGCCTGCCCCATGCCAAAGCCAGAGCTGGAGCTGTCAGAGCCATGTACCCCATGTGCTACCACTGTGGCACAAGGCCCAGGGCAACAGCAGCAGCTCTAGCTCTGGCAAGGGGCATGCAGCATACACTAGGAGCTGGAGCTGCCACCACTACTGTCTGCAGTGGGGAGGAGCCAGAGCTGCCACCAGCATTGCCACCAAGGCCACCCCATGCTGGAGCCCCAGCAGACCAGATCTGTCCCAGGGCAGGAGGCTAGTTTGACACCCGTGATCCAGTTGGTTATGAAAGTCTCAAACATTGCAATGCAAATTCCATGAGAAACAAGCCTTTGTCTTTCAAACAAATCCCCACTAAGTGGAAAGTCTCCATGTTTGGTCTCCTGACAGAGGTGATTTGGGAGGAGAATCTAGACTATAGTCCCAACAAAAGTAGCAAACTAACTTTGCTTTGGAGAAAATATACAAATTACTTGACTTTCCCAGTTTTCACTCTCGGCTCTACTCTCAACTCTTTATATTCATTGTGCTTGTTTGCTTGCCCCCTCAGGCCTGATAATGAATGTCTTGCATTCAAAAGCTTATCTAACTTTATTCCAACCCTGCATTTTGTCTAATAAAAGACATCACCCCCCAAAAATCCTTGCCTCTCACACACATCCTGGACCATCATGGCTACAGCATCACTCTAACATTACTAGTTTTTCAAGTATTTTTCTTCTTGTAAGGTAAGTTGGTCTCTTGAATAATTAATCTGTCATTGGGTTTCTTTTTTCATAAAAGACAGGACTTTGTTCCTCTCTCAAAGCTGGGTGAAGACATTAATGAGCCTAATTCTGATTTTACTTATGCAAATTTCTTTGTTATAATTCCCCTGATTTAAATGGGTACTACTCTGTAAATTCTTAGTGCAATTACTACTAGCAAGCACCATGCATTTTGAAATAGTTCAGTCAGAAGCTTATACCATTTCCTCCATCAAAGTCTTAGGAAGTTTATGGGATTATATCCCCCAAAGCAAAATTATCCACTGTCTTGGATGTTATGTAGGCATTTATACTTGTAGAAAGTATTTACCGTTCTAGATCTAGTAGCATTTTGTATTCTATCAAATACAACGCAGTGGGCAATGAGACCCTTAAAAGTATTTAGGTACAACAACACCTATGACTGGCAGTCCAGTAAAATCTTAAATCTTGAACTAATACCTACCACCAGATTTAGGTGCCATGAGAAAGGATCTTCAGAAACCATGTGAATGGGGAGCTGTTTATGGTACCCAGAAATGCAGTGCAATTTAAAAGGTCATAGCTCACTGATCTTATCATCTGGTAAATTAATAGACCTGATAAAGTATGTGGCAGGAAACAGATTAGTTGATGAGTTTCTTGCAAAACTGATCTGAATCTAATTGAACACAGTAGCTCTATTAATTTTTCTCTGAATTCTAAAGCAAAATATTTTCTCAAATCCTGTCATGTACCTGTACCTAATTTGTACTTGGATCAGTAAAGAGCTGGGTCATTCTGTAATTCCAGTAAATGGAAAAGGAAAACAAAACAAAGACTCTGAGTCTTCTTTAAATTGAATAACCCAGTAAATTTTTAGTCTTTATTTCTAGAAATCCTTGTAAAAAATGTTTCGTGTACAAATTAAGTTATGCATTTGCAGCTGTGGCATAATAGAAAGCTACTGATCATTTTTATCCAGCTCTTATTCCAATTTGACCCCTGGATTTCCCAAACAGAGAAGGACAAATTCTGTAGGTCTATTACTGCACCACAACACTGAACTGAACAACCCTAAGCCAGAACAGCAGTTCCATCCATTGTCTGTTGTCAACATGCAGGAAGAATTTCTCCTTTCCAAATGGGCAAAAAATGACTTTCCTCACCTGTTTCAATGTGTTGCAGAAATTCTTGTGCAGTTTCCTTTTCATGTGGCTGAAGGACAGGTTTGTATAGCTGCCTGGCTTCAGAGCCATTTCGTTTTAGGCAAAAGCATTCACTTATCATAACCAAGCACTCCTTAATTCTCTGCACCAGACTTGAGGACATTCTCTTTACAAAGGACACAAAGTCCTGCAGCAGCTTCATGCACTTTCCACACAGTTGACCCATCCTTAGTTTACTTGTTCTGGTATCAATGAAAGCCTAAGAGAAATAAAAAGATGGACTGACCCTTTCCTTCCACCTTAGTTACTTTCAGCGCTAACTTGTTATTTTGTGATAGATCTTGATTTAAACAACTCTGTCAAGATCTACTGAAAAAAAAAAGAAAAAGAAAAGAAAAGAAAAAGAAAAAGCTAAATTATTTCCTGCATGCAAACAAACTGCATGGCAAAACAAAACTTAACTGTGCACAATACGCTGAAGGCCTCCTTTGTGACGACTGCAAAACATTATTTTAAAGGTTGGACCGCAGTCACATAAAATCACTCTTCCTTTGCTTCAATTGCAAACAAAATATATAATGTTATACAAAACTGTTCCATAAGATAAAAGTGAAATTTAACTGTTGGACTAACTGCTGAGCCCTTTGCAAGCCCAGTGAAAGCATGTGGGATAATGAACAAAGGCAGCTGTGGTTAAAGTAAGGCAGCATCACATATGTAGGTAAGGCCCCACCTTGTTTACATGTCTACTGCCTGCATCTGCCAATGGGAGAGGAACACAAAATAAGGCAAGCTAACAGGTTTTTCCAGTTTCCCTTGAAGTTTAGACAAGAACAAAGGCCCAGCCTGGCTAGACAAACATCTTGTAACTACTTTAAGAACAGTATTCTCGCCAGTGAGACTGAAAAAATTGGAAAGGTGTGTAAATACAGCTGCCAAAGATGTATATGACATTACATTTTCTCCCCATCAAACAAAATTTGCGCAGGAATAGGGGCTTATAGAGATACATTTTGAGGGGAATCATGGGAGCTGCTTTAACTATGTATTTCTCAATAAGGGAAAAGAAAGCAGATAGGAAAGAGAGTTTGTTTCCTCTCACCCCCCTTCCCATCCCCTGATCACATCATTTTACTGCTGTAGATGCCTATGTCTCTTTCTCTACACACACATTTTTACAAAAGATGATATTCAAAGTAATGTTTTAAGGTACAGGGTTTTAAATATTCCCAAAGTTGCTGGTAAAATTTGGTTTGACTCACAACTTTAATTGTATAACTAGCTTGCGCTGGTCTGCTGAGTAGTCACTTAAGCCAGATTTCCTGTATCAGTGGGTTATATTACCCTGGGTGCATCTACATGAGACATTTACTGCAGTTACCTAATTAGCTCCACAGTAAAATCTCAGCATCTACCTGTGTGGCCCTATTAGGCTGCAGTAACTATCCTGCAGCAGCATTATTTAGTACACTGCAGCCAGAGCCAACCTGAGCAGGGTGTGGGGCCCGGGGCAAATCAGTCCATGCGGGGCCCCAGACCCAAAGACACTGCCAATGGCAGCGGCGATGGGGAATGGGGATAGCAAGCAGCTGGACATGGAGCGGCCACTTCACCCAGCTCCGTGCTGGTGCTCCTCCCAGCTTTGTGGGCTTCCACAAAGAGTAGGGGCAAAGGTGGTTGCCCCAATTCACACCCCCTTGGGATGGCTCTGACCGCAGCGCACATGTAGATGCTGATGGGGCTGGCTGGGGCATGAGGGGGCTTCAGTATGGGGGCTGCCTACAGGCTAGCCCCACACTGGAGCACCCTCATGCCCCAGTCAGCCCTGCTGCAGCACATTGAGCAGGGTTGGAGCAGCCCCAGGCTAGCAGGTTGGCTCCCCTCTTCCCCCACCCCCCTCACCCTGATCCTCTGCAAGTTGGAGCTGCTCCAACCCAGTTCAACATGTTATGGTTCCAAGCACATATGTAAACAGGGCCCAGAAGCAGTAAACTCTGGTGCAAACTGTGCTGGAGTTTATTTAGTTGAATTAACTGCATGTGTAGATGTGCCCCCTGTGTACCTACTAATGCCTTTTTACACATTTGCCTGCAGCGTTTAAAAGAGAGGTGTCATAGGGCCCTGGCAGATGTTACATTTATTGGGTGATTAATGTGTTAATTGGTTATAAACAGTCACATGACACAAGGTAAGCCAATGTATAGCCTGGTAAGCCAGCCACAAATATCATATTTTCTCAAATACAACACATGGCTTTTCCCCACCAAACTAGCAGGTAGATATTGGAGTTTGCAATATATGAGGAAATATGGTAACAGCAGTTTCTGCAACTTAGGCCCCTGCTAGACATGCAGGTAAAGCTGTGATGGGATCTGATGTGCAATCCACACAATCACACTTCCTGCCATGCCACGTGTGTATGGCATGAGGCATGACTGTGGGATTGTATATCGGATCCCATCAGCTAGGGACAGACATTCAAAAAGTCTGAGACTGAATTGATTCAATCTTTGCAGGTTAGTCTAACCTGGCTAGACTAAACCACTTTGTAACTGCACAGATATACTAGACATGCAGACACATGCCTGCAGTGGCTCGGGCTAGAAGCTGGGGGGGGGGCTAGATTAGCCTTCCCTTTGCTTCCACAAAACTGAGCTGACGGGGTGGGGGGCCCCACAGGACACTCTGATTAGCCCACCAAGGAACTGATAACAGTGTTTTAAGAAAACCCTTAAGAAAACAACAGAGGGAGAGTACCAGCTACCTGTTGATTCTGCCTGTTGATTCTACTTGTTGACTCAGCACAGACCGTACCCAGCATGTGGTCTGCTAGTTGATACACAGACACCTCCTGAGGAAGGCAGAAGAGATGGGGGAATTCCTGCTTAGCAGGAAGTGGTGAGGGGGAGGGAGGAAGCAGCCACAGTCTCTGCTGGAGCTGCAGCAGAGAGCAGAGGGGAGGGGCCAGCTCTGCTGTGGAGCAGAGAGTCCCACCCAGCCCAGAGAGCATGCCAAGATGTTGGGGGTATCTGATTTATCTTAAACCAGCAAGGGGTGTGGGACAGACACTGCATAAACTGGTTTGACCCAAATCAGGTAAGGCTGATACTAGATTCAACCAGATTTATTTCAAACCAGTTTCAGCCATTTTCAAACTAGTTTATGTGCACTGAACATCTGTTACAGGTTTAAACCAGTTTCTGACCACTTAAACTGGTTTATGTGTAATGTCTGTCCCTAGCCATCATGTCTTATCGCCTATGCAAAGGGAACCCAGGATTGAAGATCCTTGGCTCCCTCTGCACCAGTAAGTAGCAAGCCCCCATGTCTGGGAGCCCCCTCAGCTGACTGGGCTCCCAACCATGGGGGTGTATCTGGCCACACATTTCATTAATAGTGTGATAGGAACCAGCCACAAAGTTACTGTACATTTCTTGGGTTATAACTTTGTGGCTTATTCCTCATTTTATCACCCGATATAATTGATTGATTGTGTGGCTGAGTTACAACTTAAAACATAATTAACTGGTTAATAACATCTTAAGCCTAATGTGTGGCAGGGGCCTTAAGCTCTGATGAGGTAAAAGCAAAAGTAAAGTTTGCATGTGATCCACAGGGAGTTGAACGATGAGCAGGCTTGAGTTCCCTTTTGCTGCTACTGGGTTACTTTCTGGGCGCATCTACAGGAGGTACTATGTTGCTGTAGCAACAAGCTACAGCGATGTAGTCGGCGGGCATGGACCATGATGCCAAAGCTAGCGTGCAATAGGGTCAGAAACAACCTGTGTGGAGCCGGGACTGTGCAGTAATTGCTGTTACTGCACAGCTGGGTGCATGTATAGACTCACCTACTTAGAAGGAAATATATATTTTTTTTCATTCTGCCTTTCAAAAACAAGGCATGTATCTTATTCCAGGGCATGTTGTATATGAGAAAATACAGTAAATGTGGAACATCTTTGTGGCTGCTTTGCACGTTCTTTAATTTGAATGTGTGACACGTTTGACATCAGGTTGTTCTGCAGCTTAAGGTGCTAGCACATAGCATCAACGTCAGCTGCTGCAGGGCTGCAGCACACAGGTTTCAGCTTACTTGTATGGAGGGAGCCCATCAGCCCCCCATGCACTGGTACCTAAAGGTGCAGTGTAGCCTGATGACTAGCAGAGCTACAAAGGTGTTCAGCAACACCTTTGTGGTTGGTTGGCTATTTTATTGTGCCGTACATTGCATAACTGTGTGGCATGTAAGCATGTGATCAGTATAACTTCACCACACAGCTTTCAACTTTCAATACAAGGGTGATATTGAAATTTTCTAAATATGAATAGCACACAGTCTAAATTAAAAGTTACCCATTCCTCACTGTCTGGCCCAATATATTCCCAGCAGAATATCTCTTTTCCAATAACTCTTCATCCTCTCACTTCCAAACTTCTGATTTCTTCTGGCTCTGGCCCTGCACAGTTATCAAGGAGCAGACAACTGAGACTGTCAGAGATTGATAACCTTTTGCTGGTATGGACCACCTTTTGCAATCCAGCCCCTGTTGCAGGATGCAACTTTGCCCTCTGGAGCTGCCAGCTGTCTGTGTTCACCCTTGTTGCTGATTTGCTTTCCCTCTGCGATGAGAGTAAATGTAGATACAGCAGAGCAGCAGGCTCTGCACAAGAGGGCAAGGGGGAGACACCATGGAGAGGACAGGCAGCACGCCACAGCTCTGAGCCACCAAATCTCTAAGCCAGACCAGACCTTCACAGGCCAACCATTTATCATCACGGGCCAGACCTGGCCTATGGCTTATAGGCTGCCAACCCCTATGGTAGTGGAAACCATCTGGTAATCCCATGCTTCAACGTTTTTTCTGGGTGCCAGTTGTGGGCAGGATACTGGTATTCTTGCTGGTACTCAGAAAACCTGGTGAGAAGGTCTTGCTCTTCTGGTCAGTAATACTGATCACCAAATCTGGCATCAAGAAAGACTTTCTAACTTAAATCAGATTGGCATGGGGGGTTTGTCTTCCTCTGTAGCATGGGGGTGGTCATTTCCCTAGGATCTTCAGAGTGTGTGTTAACCAACTGAATCCCTGCTGTTTAAATGATAGGGCACTGACAGTGCCCTGGACTTCCTTACAATAGTGGTATTAGTGTTTCATGTATTGTGCCTTTTAGTTATGTGTGAGAATTTGAAGTGGTGATTTTGGAGATTCTTTCAGTGAGTGGCTGCCAAGAATACAAAGGATTGGATCTGACAACCTAAGGGATTCTTCCAGCCATATGTTCCTATGATCCTCATACTAGTTCTTAGGAGATGGGAGAAGGACTGACATAAGCCTATTCCTTCTTCACCTCTGAATCCATCTGGTAAGGTTCTGTTAGGAAAGTGGTTCTCAACATCTTTAGATTCAAGGCACCCCTTGGAAAATGCCAGCTCTTGTTTTTCACTTGTTTTTTGATTACAGAGAAATAATGTAGCAGTTTTTCTGTTGCAAAAAATACAAAAAGGCCACAACAGATGAGAATGTATTTAACATTATGTATTCCTATTTGATATCTCAGGGTTTATCTTGTGAAATGGCACCTGCTTGAGAATCACTGTTCTAGGAGATAGGCAAGTTACCAAGCAACTTATCTAGCACCGCGGTGCAGGACACAGGAGTTCACAGA